AACAGGTGTGTGTTTATTTATTGGCAATACCCCACAGCCAGGCGAAAGGTATTTTAAACTTGTGTTGTTACTTGTGCTCACAGTGATTTTATTCAACCAGGGACTGGGTTTGTTCTTAGAGTTAAGGTGCAGAACAGAGGACCCAAAATTACCAAGTGGCTCCTTCTGGGGTGGCACTACAATAATAATATTATATGGACTGCACATATATTATTATGAACTTGTTTGCTTGACACCTTTTCATTTGATATTAGTCACATGCGTTTACGAATAAGTATCTGCATGCTTATTTGTAACACAATAATTTTGATAGTGATATTTGTAATTTGAAGAAATTTGGTAACGTTGCATGCTGCAGCTTGTTTATATTTACATGGATCAAATAGGTGAGCCGAAAAGGTTTCATATTTTAATTTGAAAAGATGACATTACCTTGTATCTCAGGGTACTTAAGAAGTATCAAGAATGCATATCTCAGTGTTACACTTGTAGTCTCAGTCCCCGGCAAAGAACAGGTCAATAACTGTCCCTATTAAATTATCCCTATGAAATTCTGTTTTTGGGTTGTTCTTTTCCTGAAAAATATTTTCAAAGTCATTTTAGCAAACAAATGGAACATAAGGCTACAACAATACAAGTAAGTCCCCACTAATCCTGAACCATGCTGCCACTTTGGATCATACTGATTTTTGTTTTTCTTTTGCTTATTGGCATCAGAATTAAAGAATCCCCTCCATTTTCCCACTTCTTCGCAGTAGTTTGGATAGCTGCCATTAGGGAAGAGGCATTGGACTAATCATGAATCTTTTACTGTAACTCAGTAACTGTAACAAAATAATAATCAATCGGTGCATACCGGGGAATACCTTTTACAGCAGCACATTACAGCTGTAATTGGTGGCCAGCAGCTTCACTTCAGCTTATTCAGTTAAGCTTTGAAAATAAAACCTGGAAGCAAATTGGTTTCTGTGCAGAGCTGCATCAGATTTTTCATTTTCCAGTTTTAGTAAATAAACCCCACTGCAGATAAACGTTACAATATTGTATCCATTGCCACTTTTGTACTTCATACAAGGCATGCAGTAAAATCTGAAATAACCCATTAAAGCATTCCTTGAATTAGAAAAGAGATCAGATTCTAGACCAAGAATTAAAAATCAAACTCACCTCTTTCATTTTTATGAGGAAGCAGTCTATGAAGTCGCGAGGGCAGTTCTCATCCAATGTCTTCTTGTGAGCTTCCACCATTTCTATCACAAACTTCTTTAAGTTTTCAAAATTTGAAAAAAGTTTCTGATGGGGGCCAGGGACATAGCCCATTAAGGTTGGGAACAGATTAAAAATCTGAAACAAAGTTTTAATTCAGGTGTTAAATAATGAGCATTATATCTCCCTTACATTGTAAACATACATAGCCTCCCTAGCGGTCTGATTATGTCCATATATCTGTGCTCAAAGCGCAGTACATTTTTTTGAATGGAAATATGTATTTTTTTTTATTGTAGGCCTGTAATTTTTAGGAATAACTCACTGAAATCTCTCCGAACTTAACCAGATGGTATTATACCCCATCAAGACTACATGTATTGTTCCCTCAGGTGTCCCCTTTATGTTTTCGGGGCTGTGGTCTCACAGGTACTTTGGTTCATATATTCTGGGATTGCCCGACCATATCTTGGATTTGGCGTAAGATATCTGAGGTTGCTGCCTCACTGGCGGGTACCCTGGTACGATTATCCATGCAGGCCTGCCTATTGGGGGCTCATGTCCCGGGGATCCCTGTTGCCACTATGAGACTGATACATACTATTTGTGTTGCTACCTTGTGGGCTATTGCCTTACACTGGAAGTCCAATACTGTACCCTTGGCCTCCGTTTTACACAGGGTTGATGCCGTGATGCTCATGGAACAAATTCATTATACTTTACTGGATGGGATGCACTTATTTGATAAAAAATGGGAATCATGGAGGGATTGTAGACATTTATTGCATGATTAACAAATTTCCAAGTGAAGGTTGACTGGCATATACTGTTGACAGTTGTATCATTCAGCCTACTTTATTGTCTACATATTTCATGTACTTGCAATCTATTATTTTCTATTTCCTCTTTTTTTTATGTTAATATACTTTTCTGCATTGTATCTTTCAGAAGTGTTTTGTTTTTGCTGTGAGAATCATTTGAAAATGTACTGTTGTTTTACAGTTTACCTTTGCAAAATAAAACCGTTTGTAAACAAAAAGAAATCTCTCCGAACAAGAGTAGTAAACATCCCGGGTATGTTAAAATTTGAAACACGAAATCATAAATTATAATTTAATAAATAATCATAAAAAATAATAACATAATAATAATAAATGTAATTCAATAATATAATCAAACCAAAAACGCTGAAATTTGATATATAGCGCCAAGTTTACACATCACTTAGCAAAGTCGCAAAATCGTTTTCAGTGTCTGATGATGAATTTTCCCACAAATCATTATCACTCAATTCTGCAAGTGATTCTAATTTACTATCGCTGTTCTCTAGCTGGTCTAAAACTGCTTTTGACCTAAAGGGACGATTTTTGGACACCATGGACATTTCTCAGTTTCCAGGCAGAAAGAGCAGTAAAAATGCAGGCAGGGCACAGGACAAAGCACTTGGGACAAAATGTATGTGAAATGCTTTGATACAGTAATGTTTTACTATGTGAATTTAGTGAATGTCACTTTTACAACTTTCAAATTTCCCGCCAGTTCCACCCCCCGTACGACCCAGAAGACAGATGCCGGCATCCGCCGGAGGACATTGCAGGGGACACTGCAGAGGGACATCGCTGGAGAGCAGGACAAGGTAAGTGAAGAAGAGATCCTGGAGCAGCACTGCAAGGCATTCCCGAGTGTAGCTTGGGGTTACCGCTTGTGATAATGAAAGTTTACCCCGAGCTACACTCGAGAATACCGCCAGGGCGGTTAAAGCAGAGTTCCAGTGAAAATAAAAAAAAAAATAAAAGTCAGCAGCTACAAAAACTGTAGCTGCTGACTTTTAAAAACTGGACACTTACCTGTCCCTTGATCCCGCGTTGTCCTCCCCACATCCCGTTTCCCCGGCTGCCCTGTGTTCCTGGTGCCTGCATCTTCAGTGTGGACTTCCGGCTGTGACAGTAGCGAGTAGTGCTGCACTGTGTGAATGGTCCTGTAGTCTTCTTGGACCTGTCACATGTCTCAGAGGACTACAGGGAGGGAGGGGGGTAGGACAACTTCTGCTTCTGATCGCCTAGGCGATTGCCTAGGCACCAAAGGTGCAAATCCTTAATGGAGAGCGGGGGACGAGTCCTTAAAGTGGAACGTGCCCTTTTGGCTGGAGCTCTGCTTTAACTTTACCGAAACAAGTTTCCATTATTCAGAGTGTTTGTCTATTGCCAAGCTATTGCTATCCTTTGACATTTTTCTTCAACTAGGGCTGGTCTCAAATGTCTTGTATGTGTGTGCAAGACTGAAGTTTAAAAAAATCACACTGGTTCCATAATCCATAGCCTTAACTCCCAGAAAAGTCTACACAAGCCAAAACGGAAGGGACCATATAGACCACATGATATTGACATGTGATAAATTAACTCATTCAGATACAGCCACATGCAGACTCACCCCTCCCCTCTCTCCTCTTGCTGCATGCCAATCACAAAAATTATGCTGAGACAGATTGCAGTGCAGCCACCCATGCTGGGGGCATCATTATTAAAGGTGGACAGAAATCAAGGGCACATTCTTTTAACCAGTGGACAAACAATTCGTCCCAGTGATGGGGCACAATTCCCCAATGACACAACGAAGGAGCACAGTTCCTCTCATTAGCACCAAAAATGGGGCATTGTTTGCTCCCATTGTGTCAGGGCTCCGGGGTGAGACCAGAGGTATGTGACTGACGCAGGGAAACGCAGGCTTCAGATAAGTTATAAACAATATAATTTATTAAAGACTAACAATACAAACATAAACGCAGTGCAATACTAAAACATAACACAGTGCAAACGAACCAAACCAACCACCCACAGATAACAGTACATACAATGCAAGCGTCGTCAGGCAGGCCGGGTCAATAACAATCGGGCAGGTAGGTACAGGGGGTCAGGCAGAGAATGGTCGGGGTCACAAGCCAGGGATGAAACAGGAGAAGTCAGCAGAGGTCCGGATCAGGCAGGGTCAGCAACGAATCAGTCAGACAGGGACAGGAACAGGAACAGGAATGCAGGTAACAAGATACAGGGCCCAGGAAAAACACACACCAAGGCAGAGACTGCAGGTCTGGCCATCCCTTAAATACACCTGCATGATCAGCTTCAGGTGTTTGGCTGGCTGCAGGGTTGAGTCTCTGATTGCCGGGTGCACCCGCTGGCCAGCCCTGGTACTGCAGCCCACAAGGCAGGTGAGTCCCACCATTACTGGCAAGTCCATTCCTGACAGTACCCCCCCCCCTCAAGGAGCGGCCTCAGGACGCTCCAAACAGTCCTAGCTGGGCAAAATGTTCCACCACCCGGTCTGGTAACTGGCGGGATATCAAAGACTGGCACATCGGGCAGGACTCCGGGCAGCGGATAGGACTCCGGGCAGCGGCACACCGGGCAGAGGCACATCAAGCTGGACTCCGGGCAGAGGCACATCGGGCAGGACTCCGGGCAGCGGCACATCGGGCAGGACTCCGGGCAGCGGCACATCGGGCAGGACTCTGGGCAGCGGCACATCGGGCAGGACTCCGGGCAGCGGCACATCGGGCAGGACTCCGGGCAGTGGCACATTGGGCAGGACTCCGGCAGGACCGGGCAGAGGCACATCGGCTGGACTCCGGGCAGAGGCACAGGAGCTGGACACCGGCATCGGGCCCCAGGCGGAGCAGCAGGCACGGGCCCCCAGGCGGAGCGACAGGCATCGGGCTTCCAGGTGGGGAGACGGGGCATCGGGCCCCCAGGCGGGGGCGACGGGCATCGGGGCCCCCAGGCGGGGCGACAGGCATCGGCACGGGGCGGGCATCGGGCCCAGGCGGAGCGACGGGGCATCGGGCCCCAGGCGGAGCGACAGGCATCGGGCTTCCAGGTGGGGCGGGGCATCGGGCCCCCAGACGGGGCGACGGGCATCGGGCCCCCAGGCGGGGCGACGGGCACCGGGCCCCCCGGCGGAGCGGCGGGCGCCGGGCCCCCAGGCGGGGAGACAGGCATCGGGCCCCCAGGGGCGACAGGCATCGGGCCCCCAGGCGGAGTGACAGGCATCGGGCCCCCAGGCAGGGACGGGCGCCGGGCCCCCAGGCAGAGCGCCGGGCGCCGGGCCCTCAGGCGGGGCGGCAGGCACCGGGCCCCCAGGAGGGGCGGCAGACACTGGGCCCCCAGGCGGAGCGGTGGGCACCGAGTCATCAGGCACGACAACGGGCATCGGGTCACCAGGCATCAGGTCATTTGGCTCGCCAGTGGGCACCGCGTCATCTGGCAAGGCAGTGGGCACCGAGTCACAGGCACGACAGTGGGCTCCGAGTCAACTGGCATAACCGCGGGCACTGGGTCAGACATTGGATCGTCTGGCTGGCTGACAGCGGGCATCGGGTCACCAGGCATCAGGTCATTTGGCTCGACAGCGGGCACCGCGTCATCTGGCAAGGCAGTGGGCACCGAGTCACCAGGCACGACAGTGGGCTCTGAGTCAATTGGCACGACAGCGGGCACCGGGTCATCAGGTACCAGATCGTCTGGCTCGACAGCAGGCACCGGGTCATCTGGCGCTGGATCGTCTGGCTCGACAGAGGGCATCGGGTCACCAGGCATGACCGCGGGCACTGGGTCATCAGGCATTGGATCGTCTGGCTCGACAGCGGGCATCGGGTCACCAGGTATGACAGTGGGCTCCGAGTCACCAGGCATGACCGCGGGCACTGGGTCAGACATTGGATCGTTTGGCTCGACAGCGGGCATCAGGTCACCAGGCATCAGGTCATTTGGCTCGACAGCGGGCACCGCGTCATCTGGCAAGGCAGTGGGCACCGAGTCACCAGGCACAACAGTGGACTCTGAGTCAATTGGCACAACAGCGGGCACCGGGTCATCTGGTGCTGGATCGTTTGGCTCGACAGCGGGCATCGGGTCACCAGGCATGACAGCAGACACTGGGTCATCAGGTACCGGATCATCTGGATCGACAGCGGGCACCGGGTCATCTGGCGCTGGATCGTCTGGCTCGACAGCGGGCATCGGGTCACCAGGCATGACAGCGGGCACTGGGTCATCAGGCATTGGATCGTCTGGCTCGACAGCGGGCATCGGGTCACCAGGTATGACCGCGGGCACTGGGTCATCAGGCATTGGATCGTCTGGCTCACAGCGGGCATTGGGTCACCAGGCATGACAGTGGGCACCGGGTCATCAGGTACCGGATCGTCTGGCTCGACAGCGGCACTGGGTCATCAGGCGTGATAGGATCATCAGGCTGGATCAGTTCATCAGGCTGGGTACAGACATCAGGCTGGGTACAGACATCAGGCTGGGTACAGACATCAGGCTGGGTACAGACATCAGGCTGAGGTGCGGGTGCCGAGGCACCAGGCTGAACCACGGAAGGCAGGTTCTCAGATGGCAGGCTCACCGGTTTGGATACTGGCAGGATGGTACTGGTTGGAAAGAATTTCCGCTTTTTTTTTTTCTGTTTTTAACTACTGGGGCACTGCAAGTAAACGCAGGTCTGCAAACGAATGGAGCAGCTGAGGACAGAGAAGAGCTGGAAGATGGAACAGAGGAGGGAGCAGTTGCTACAGAGGACTTCTTTACAGGGTTAAAGAAAGGATAGGTGCAGCGAGTGGGAGCAGAGGACTGGTATGTGGTAGTTAGAGTATACTGGGCAGTCACTGGGGGTGCTGTCGGGGATGCAGGAAGAGTGCCTTGAGTGGAGGAATGATGTTGTAAGCTGACTGAGGCTGGGCGCAACAAGTCTGACCATGTCTGCAGTATGGATTGAACAAAGCTCAGTTTACACAAAGCCTGTCTGGTCAATGACTGCACTGCGTTTATACAATCTCTTAGTATCTGTGGTGAACATGCAGAATAACGCTCCAGAAAGTAATCCACATCATCCTCTAATAACCATACCAGGGACTCTACCTGGTCGGCACTGAATGGCGGCAAAAATTCATCCCTGCATTCGGGGGTACCAGATGAAACCAACTCAGCACAAACCTGAATCAATGGCTGCACCTCAGAGAATTCTGTGCCCTGATCTACTAGGCAATGAGCAATCCGTATACATTCTAGTAGTTGATCCCGGGATACTCCTTCAGAGTCTGATAAGCATATTCTCTGTCATCAAACACTAGCAGAGATAAATACACAACCTCATCCAGATCCATCCTTCCCAGCAACAAGCCAAGATGGCTTCCCTGTGCAGCCACTTCTGGTCAGGATTGGCCTTGGTGTAATGTCAGGCTCCGGGGTGTGACCAGAGGTATGTGACTGACGCAGGGAAACGCAGGCTTCAGATAAGTTATAAACAATATAAATTTATTAAAGACTAACAATACAAACATAAACGCAGTGCAATACTAAAACATAACACAGTGCAAACGAACCAAACCAAACCACCCACAGATAACAGTACATACAATGCAAGCGTCGTCAGGCAGGCCGGGTCAATAACAATCGGGCAGGTAGGTACAGGGGGTCAGGCAGAGAATGGTCGGGGGTCACAAGCCAGGGATGAAACAGGAGAAGTCAGCAGAGGTCCGGATCAGGCAGGGTCAGCAACGAATCAGTCAGACAGGGACAGGAACAGGAATGCAGGTAACAAGATACAGGGCCCAGGAAAAACACACACCAAGGCAGAGACTGCAGGTCTGGCCATCCCTTAAATACACCTGCATGATCAGCTTCAGGTGTTTGGCTGGCTGCAGGGTTGAGTCTCTGATTGCTGGGAGCGCCCGATGGCCAGCCCTGGTACTGCAGCCCACAAGGCAGGTGAGTCCCACCATTACTGGCAAGTCCATTCCTGACACATTGATACTGGGACATTTTCTACACCTGATGACCACAGTCCGGCTCTCCTAAAGTCTGAAGGACAGTAAACTGGCCCTTGTATATAAAGTTTTGAGACCCCTGATTTATAGTATATGGCATCACTGTAAGATAAGCATATTGTATATACTGTGACAGTAGGGCGATCTGTCACCCAGGATTTCTCAACGAGGCAGGTTGAGGGGTTCCAGGCTAAGTGTGTTTGATACGGAGGAAAGTGGCTTTTCACTTTCCTCCTTTGTTTGTAAGGTCTGTTTTGGGATCTGGAGCCTGGAGATTTCAAAGAGATCTGGGAGGGATGAAATCTCCAATCCTGGGACCAGGTTTTGGGAATGGCCAGGAGACTGATTGCACAGGTGTGTGCAGGCCTTTAGAGAGAGTCAGGACCAGGGTTCTGGGCTCCACCACCCCGGCAGATAGGAGTCAGCAGGGCTCCACCCCGGCAGCTAGGAGTCAGGTGGGCTTCACCTAGGGGAGGTGGAAGCCAAAAGCAGCAAGGGGCTGCTAGAGACTAGCTGTGTGCTAGTGGCCAGCGGTGTACAAGAGCCGTGTCTTGAAGAAGTCTGCAGGAGGCAGACATCAAGCTGAGTATAAGCCAGGAGGCTGAATTTTGTTTTATGTGATGGTGGATACCCCTGCGTGGGAACCTCTTTATGTTATGGGACATTCTTTAAATAAAAGTGGGCTAAAAGGGCCCTGAAAAAGAAAGCGAGTTGCTGTGTGCGTTTAAAAGCTCTACCACGTTGAAGCGAGTTTCCCACAATACACATACAACTGTACAATGTAAACATTTACCTGGCCTGATCGGGAGTTCACCAGGACCACAAATTCTTGAACATGTGTCAAAAGGGTTGTGAACTTCTTGTCTTCATAGTCAAAATCTTTCTCCAAATACAATGGAACAGATGATATTGGAGACAGCCAGTCTTAGTACATGTGTAGGGTTTATTGGTTTATCTGTTATTACAAAAGGAGAACCATTTAGAATTTTCATCCCCAACATTAATATCCAGAATTTTAGAAAACAATTTCACCCTGAGAACCTTGGGTAAATACTAAGAAATTACACAAAGGTCTGGCATAAACCCGTTGAGGTTGATTTACTAAAGGAGTAGAGCATGTTTACTTTGCAAAGTGTATTATCACTTAGCTTAAAAATGAGATGAAGCTAGATGCAAATTCACTTGTGGACAGACTTTACTCCTTTAGTAAAACAAAGCTGATCTACAGCTCTCTTAACATTTCCTAGCCCAAGGCTTCAGTGTTACAACAAAATTGTGCCTGTCCACACACTGCATCAGAATATAGTGAACTCCTCTCAGTAAAAATGGCTTCATCTTGGTCTCCTACCCATGGAGAAACCCCCGCAAATGTGTTTTATCCAGTATTGACTTAATCATAGAGGCTTCTACAATTAAGTTACTACTGGGTGAAACATGTTAGGAGGATTCTCCCATGGGTAGGAGACCAAGATGAAGACATTTTTAACTAATAGGAGTTCACTATGTGCTGAGGCAGTGTGCAGACAGGTACCATTTTGTTGTAGTCCCTGATGTGTTTGATGAGGCAGTATTCAATCCGACCAGCACCTGCAAACATTGTACCCAGTTGGAAACCCAGTCTTTTGGTAATGTCCATGGGTTACAGACTTCAGGGAGTCATTGCCAGTAAAGGATTCTAAACAAAATTTTAAAAATTAACATTTTATTTATGATTATATTCAATTGTCCAATTACTTTTGGTCCCTTGAAAAAAGCAGAGATGGCTAATCTTGAGAGCTGTAATTCCTAAACCCTTCCTCCAATTTGGATGTACATACCCTCAAATTAAACCTGAGAGTATGCACTTTCAGCCCATATCCATTCTATAACTATAGCTTGAATATGGTTTGGTAAATACCTGAAAAGATCTAAAAGTGTGCCTGTGTCCAAATATATATGGACCTAGCTGTATTTACATAAAGCATAACATCAGTGTGTTATCATCTGATTTTTTTTACAGATCAATGGGGAAAATCATTTCAGGTTTCTTCTGTGATGCAGATGATAACCATATGATATTTTACTATAGTTCTGATTTTTTTAATTTTCTCCACAATAAGGCTATAGGGCCATTCATGATATGCAACTATAATCAGGCAAGCAAAAGAAAAAAATCTATGTAAAAAGACAATATACTGTATATAATATACTGTACATTGTTAACTAATATGACTTTCTATGATGTTTGCTTATGTTTTTTAGATATAGCAGGCATGCTAATTGTCTCCAAAAAGTCTATTCCAAAATGGTAACTGTGAATTAGAGGATGAGAGTGTTTTTAAAACTATACAGCCTGATCACTTCCCCACCCTCTTGTACATTAGCAATAGCCTGGTCATATCCCCGTATTCTTGTATATTAGGAGATGCACTGCAGTCGTCACATCACCAAGGGACATAACTAAGTTAGTGCCCTGAGAATCAGTGCCTACTGTGTGTTGCTGAAATTTAAGAGGCAGCTGTCAATTCCTAGAAAGCCAGAAATTACAAGGATGTCCCTTTACAGCCCACCATGAGAGGGCTCTAATGAAGGGAGTTCCCTTGAACCGTGTAAGTCGCTTTTGGATCCCGGAAGGCGCATTCCTGACGTTGGCCTCTGTTGGGTCTTTACATTCACTGTGCCATTAGGTGGTGGCTTTACATGCCCGATATACATATTTGTGAGTATGTTTTAGCTTTTCATACCATTAATAAACCCCCAAGGATAATGCACTAGGCTGGTACGGCCTATTTCTTTTAATCTTTAGCCCCTCATGAGTGCCCAGACTTTTTTTATAACACATCACATGCCAAGAGATATAATACAGGTAGCCATCATCATATTGGATCATACTGTTACACCAGCCTAGCAGTAAGGATCTATGGAAATGGTGTTAGATCTGAATAATTTGGATCGATAGATTGGGTTATTCCATGTACAATAAATGTGAGTTTAGTGTTACTATTGTTATAATTCAGTATTATCTCCACCTGCCTTTGATCTTCATAAATCTGTCCCTGAGACACCGAGCTTCCTCCTGGATTCTTTCCTCCACACTCCTCTTCCCCATTCCAAAATTTCTCAGTGTTGTCAGGGAAAATCGACGCATTGTCTTCCATCTCTCTCCATTGCTCATGATGACCCCTAAAAGATTTGAAAGGTTTTATACATATTGCTCTTAAAAATCCTTTAAATTTCAAACATTTTAAACAATGGCCTATTGACCCCCTCTATATTGCATGAATCCCACCAGGGACACTATCAGCATGGAGCTTGTGGATTTTCATTGTCTTTGCATGGGTCTCCTCTTATGATATGAAAACATAATAATAATTTAAGTGCAATGCTTCCAGTAAAGGTGACCTATTCTCCCTTTTGAGCTCACATTGACAAACATAGCAAGAAGATTTAGCTCCTGTGTTTGGAGATTCTTTGTGGAAATGTCACATGGCTAAGATCCAGAATGGTTTGGATTAACTGTCTCCCTCAAGAATTGGTCTGTATGTATGAGTGTAAGAGACATTAGACCATGAGTCCCTTTGGAAACAGGGACTTATGATAATAGCTCTATGTGATGATAATGTTGTCTGCTGAACCTGGAACTGAGTGGAAAGAATGGGAATATTGTACAAAACATAGAATTTACAAGTCACCTTTGAAAGTGTTCTGATTTATATCTCATGTTTGTGCTAGGTAATCATAGAGTTTATTACATTTAACAAAATAAAACAATCAAATTAACATCCCAGTTTACAGAAAACAGCCCCAAGAATAGAAAGCAGGGTTAGTTGCCAGGCAGGCTATTGTAAAACTTCCAGCAGTATAAACTGTACTTAGTGATGAAAATGATCAGATTTAAAGCTAATTTCTGTACAAGGGTTTCATCGGATTTACATAAGTTAACTGAATAAAACGTTCTATTTTACAGCACAATTGACAGAAAAAAGAAACAAAAGAAAGTTAGTTGGCAGGTAGGAGATTGTATAGTAAGGTCATCAGGGGCATATTTACCACAAGGCATTTGCCTAGGGCAGCATTTTTCAGGGGGGCATACCCCCCCCGGAAGAAGGGACGGAAGAAGGGACACACGCAGCATAGGGACCAGGTGGGATCTGAGAAAGGCTACAGGCTGCTTTATTGTTCCCAGGGATGTCCAGAGCTGAAGAGGTGAGTGACTTCTCCCTCTCGCCGGGTGGGCAGTGTATGGGGGGTGGTGATAGAGGAAGGCTCTCTTGGGTTGGAGTGGGGGGGACCGGGATGTTGTTGGTAAATGTCAGGCTCTCTTCATGGGGGAGGGGTGTGTTGGTCGGTGTCAAGGTCTCTCCATGGGTGAGGGGGGGGAGCACGAAACTTAAATATACCACTGAAGGTCATAAACAGTATTTACCAGAGTCTGGACAAACTGTAATTGCAGCCTTGTCACAAATGATATGTGCTAAATCCTTTCTAATAACAAAATACAAAATATACAAGTCTAGGTTTTGACCTAAGATCAAACTACCAGAGACAAACAATATACAGTTTCCATAATTCCTGCTATGAGGAAAATAAAATAACAATCAGCTCGATGCCCAATAACCCTGTATTTTAAGGAACAGAAGGCTAATAAAATACAATAAATATCCTTAACAAAAAAAGCATATGCTATTTGATCCTATCAAATCATTATTTGTTTCTGTACTATAATAATTTGGTTGACAGATTGCAAAACCTCGTCTGAGAGAAATGTAGATGTATTTAGAAAAATCGGAACTAAGGGTTGCGTCTGCTGAAAATCATTGAACATTTCAATATACTTTCAACACACCTCTTAGGCCTTTGATTGGTTATGTTCTGTAATTCTGTAAACTCCCTTTTCAGAGACAATAACAGATGGCTGTTTTTGCAGCTCAGAGATCTCGCTTACCATTGAAATTATAAGGGAACAAAATAAGTTATTCATGATGAATCTAATACATTTTATTGAGCATACTTTGTAGTGGATTGGAATTGAACTTTAAGTGCTTTTCATTTTTAATCCAGTTTATTTTACTGTTGCTAATTTTCTGTTTTGTAATATGTTTTCTGTAAAACAGCTATTTATAGGTTCGCCTTATAAAGAGTGAAAACAACCATCTCCTAGGAAACTCCTCAAAGCGAAGTTCCACCCAAAAATGGAAGCTCCGCTTGTTTACCTCCTCCCCCCTCCACTGCCAAATTTAGCACTTTTTTGGAGGGGAGCAGATACCTGGTTTTGGCCTTCCTCCTTCCTCCCACAGTCTTCTCGGACACTTCACGGGTCCTAGAAGACTGCCGGACCAATCAGAATACAGAGCATGACTCGCGCATGCGCAGTGGGCATCCAGCTATGAAGCCACAAGCTGTCACAGCCTGGTGCCCACAGTTGAGATGTCGGTGCCAGGGAGAGGAGAGGGAGAAAAGGGATGGAGAAGGTGAGCACATCGCTTGACCCTGGGACAGGTGAGTGTGTGTTTACTAAAAGTACACAGCTACAGTTTTTGTAGCTGCTGACTTTTAATAAACACAAAAATGACTGGAACTCCGCTTTAAACTTGCTGAAAAATTTCCTACAAGTACCTTGTATGAGATACACTTTTGAAGTGAGGGTGTTTTTGTGAGGACCATTTTTGGGTCCTAGGCTTTTCAAACCTGATAATGTTGAGGATGCTGGCTATCTGATGCATAATTAGTTGTTGTGTAGTGAGGTGTGCCTAAAACAAACAGTTACGAGAACAAGTGATTTCTTAACAGCTATCATTAGTTATGAAAGTAGTATACAACCAATGCCAACAATAATCTATTTTGGGATGAACTGGATTCACCATGACTTGTCCTGGCTAGTAGATCAGCACCAGTCAATGGGAATTCAGCCCCAAGCCAGTTTATTATGTTGTGTTTATTCTGGATCTGATCCCAAGACTCTACCTAAGCCCTGAAGAAGGGGAAAGTTACATATCCACAAACATGTTATCTATAACTACATTCCTAATAAAGACTTTTAGCAAATTAATTAATTGCGCAACTGTTTGTAACAGGCACGCCTAAGTACACAACCACTATTGATCCCACTTTTTAATTCATAATTTATGAACTGTGCGTATATTTGACTCTTTAGGTTCCTGCATAATCAAGAACAGGGAGATGACTCTCTGCCTTTCATTTTCAGGGAGATATTTGTTTTATAATTGGTCACAGTAAATCTTATAGGGCCCACAAGCATCAGGCCCTTTTCACATGGGGTGGAATCCACTAGTTCAGCAAGGAATCTGTCTGCTGATCCCCCGCTGAGCAGAGCGGAGTGGAGCAGGCAAGTAACAGGTCCATGTCCACACCACTTATGAAGAAGAAGACAGACACAGCCTACTCTGCTGTACGGGCAGTTGGGTGCAAATGGACCGGAAGTCCATTTACACCTGACTACCCTCCAATCCACCCAGATGGAGGGAAATAGATGTCCTTCCATTTTTTTTTAGTGGATCAGATTGTAGGTAGCTGGGTGTAAAAACAGAAGTCTGTTTACATTTGCAGCTCCATAGAGGGGAATGGAGGGTCTGATCATGTCCACCAGAAAAAGGGGACCTTAGTGTTTTGGTGTCTAATCCATGATGCTTCCATGATGAATGTTTAGGATTGAATAGCGTGCACCTTTAATAGCATTGATACCACATCTGCATTACAATAAATACAGTTAGTCTCTAATGAATACATATGAAACAAAATTAAGGATAATTATTTTGTTTTTAGAATCTTACCGAAATCCTTAAAGAATAATTCTATTAGATCCATTTCCCCTCTTTCACTGAACACATCACTGCGATCAACCAGAGCCTCCTTCACAGCATCATAGCCAATTAGCATGACTGCTCGATTGTTGGCCAGGTAGACTGTATAAACAGGTCCATACTTTTCACCAAGCTGTTGATAGAGATTTGAGGTTTTTTATCAGAATTCTTCAGGTTCAAGAAGAGGTAGGACAGGAAGAAGTTGACCTAATGTGCTTCTGTCTACCAACTATCTTGATGTGTTTGGCTGGTCACAGGCAAGAATATATTTTACAAGAGCAAGACATGGCTTTTCTAACATTTGGTCCCACATTCAGCTTATTGAGAGTACTGACAATGGGGCCTCTTTCTCACTCAGAACAGTCAGCAGACAGCACAGGGCTTCTACTGTATCCCTACTGCAGGGTGAACATTGAGAAGACAGGGTGGGGTGTCTGACTGTCCTGGGACATGATCAAAAAGACCTAGATGTTCAGAAGCAGATACTGCAGGCAATGGAAGTAAAAACAATGATGTGGGGAAAAACAGTGACATTAGGGCTGGTTTATTGAAATATCACGACTGACATTTCTATACAGTTCTATTAACCGCAGCGGTGTTATGATGCGGGATTTTGCACTGCATGTCACAAGCACACAAATTATTTCCCAGCACACCTTACCAGCCAGCCTGCAAAACAATCAAACTGATCCTGAAAAAGAAGCCACTTTAAAACAGAAGGTTTTATGTGCACATATTTGCAAGCTGCAGTGCCCAAGTCAAGGCTCCTCTGCATACTGCAGTCTTAATTCTATATTTGTTTGAGTCTCCTTAGTAGGAGCACATATAGCAATGGATAGATTAAAGGTAGGTGTGCCTGGAGGGAGCCCACCCCTCCTTAAAGACACAGTGGGTGCATGTGACACCCAGCAAGAGCACAATGGCAGATGACTGCAAAGGCTAGTTATGGGTTGGGGTGGTTGCCACTTTTTTGTACAGTGTTTTGCATTGCAACCCGCTGCACTAAAAAAGGACTGAGTTGACACAAAAGAAAACAAGACATTTTAGCTATGTCTATGCATTAGGGGTGCACTTGAAATGACTGCCTACATAGCCTCAAAGCATCTGTTGTGAACAAGTCCATATTCCCTGGCTGACTGATCCCTGCTCTGATTTGCCAGCAGTGTGAATAGCATATATCCCAATTGCTGATCGATTGTTTTTTGCTTTTATTAGAAAGTCAGGGAAGGACAGTAATCCAAGAAAACAAGCGGTTGATTTACTAAACTGGAGAGTGCAAACTTTTGTGCAGTTCTGACAGAAACCAATCAGCTTCCAGGTTTTATTGCCAAAGGTTAATTGAACAAGCGGAAGTTAGAAGCTGATTGGCTACCATGCACAACTGCAGCAGAGTTTGCTCTCTCCAGTTTTAATAAATCAACCCCAAATTCCAAGGCACTTACGATTTACCACTCTTCTTTATTTTGGTAGAAATTCCAAAGACTAAAAATAATTACGACACATCCAGCCAATGAACATTTTTCATGCAAAGTGCACACATTTTCAAGGCATTTGGATCTCTTAAGGATTATTTTAAAGGGGGAATTCCCTGGCTGGTATTTAAAACATGGCACCTTAACAATAAACTGACAATACATAAGCACCATACTAGCAAATGTGGTAACTGGTTGCTATGGGTAAGCTGTCAAACTTTCATATCTTCCCAACCCTTCCATGTCCGCCAAAAGCAGAGGGCTTCTTTTGTAGTGGCAAGTCTATGGCTGTTCTCAATGTCCCTTGTGAGACCAGGTGGAGGAAAGAGCTGTGTTGCAGCTTGGTTATTGCTAGAGCACTGAAAGAAATGAATTTTTTTTTATGGTTTGGGAGTACTTTCTTCTTTTTCTGCCTATTTCACCATCATTTTTGTAAAAATGTGACTCATAGACTGGAATATGTAGCAGCTTAGATTGCAATTTTTGACATTATGAGAGATTTCTTCCTAGAATACAAGAAGAGAGCATTGTTTTAGAATAATCAGAATGATTATTTTTACCTTCACCAGAGACTTTGGCAATTCAGTGGTACTAATCTGCAGAATATTCCCCAGAAGTGGCAAAGGAGTGGGTCCTGGTGGCAAGTCCTTCTTCTTTACATTCATCCACCATTTAATGAGGTAAATCAGTAGAGTCACCCCAGAAGCGAGAAGAAGTGTTGCTGCCACATTCACCGCCATCCTGACAATTCTCTCTGTGTATTGTCTCTAAACCACGAACTGCTGTATTTATTTGTGAGATGAAATTTGACAATATTCCAACTATCGTTTGATGACTGAGGTAGGGCGTGTTGGAGTTTGGTCTAGTTAAAAGCATATTGCATAACAGATTATAAAGATTTCCTAAGGTTTACTTACCCTGCTGGTTTTTAAATGTCATGCGAATGTGATATCTATGAAATAAACTTTTCGTGTTATATTATTCAGGAGTAAACCAGCATAAAATGGATGGGGTTTTAATCAACTATTTTGTATTTATCATAACTATTGTGTATCTGGAGCCCTGAGTTATACTTCATCCAAAGCCTTCTCAAGAGTTCATTGACCAAACATAGATAATATTACTCAGAAAAGCTCAAAATAAACTAAAGTCCTGTGTGACAGTCTACAAAATACAGAGATTGATAAAGGTACAACATTTTGGCATCTTGGAATTCTTGCACTTGGAGTTAGCCTTGGCATCTCCAGTGAAAAACTTACATCACACCCAAAGCATGTTGTATTTATCCTTAAATATTCTGGTACAATAAAAAGGAACAATTGTAATATTTATTGCAAAGGAAATTCTTAAAATAATTTAAAAATACTATTTGTCAGCCTTAACTTACCTGCTCATAACACAGCTTCTACATCACCAAACTGACATCTCCATCGTTAGTTCCTGCTCCCAGCATCTGTTCATTTTTGTCTAATTTTTTTCATTTCCTGCTCCCCATCAGCTTCCATCCCCCGCCCCTCGCCAAGGATTAGCCCTCATCATCCCGTCCATCACCAGTTCCTGACCATATACCTCTTCATCTTGGTCTCTTTTCAGTGCCCTCCATCAGCTACCACCTCCCATTGTCCTCTATTGTGCCCTCCTTCATCAGTTCCCATCCACCACACCTCTTCATCTTTGTCTCCATTTCTAGCTCTCTGCCCTACCCCCCACCATCAACTCTTGCTTTCTTCTTCGCAAAGCTCTGTAAACCCATATATATATATAATATACTATTTTTAAGAAACCATATTCAATTCAAGTAAAGATGTGCACACATACTGTATGTCAGTGGAATTGCAGCAATGGATAATGAAGCAATGGGCATAAAGATTTGGTTCTCCTGGAATCATATTGAAAAGAAAGCAATCAAACAGGTTGGATATTTTTCAAACATTCAAACATTATAACTTGAATTATTTTTTCCCTCAAACATTTTGTATTGTAACACTGTTTTGACTGTATTAAATTCCCCCCAAAAAATATGTTAAAAACAATTGTGTCGTTGCAGGAAGAATTGTGATGCCATAGAAGGGTAGTAGGATGTCACAGTCAATATATAATTTCATAGTAGGCACTGTGATGTCATAATTAGTATGTGATGTCATGGTTAAAATTAATGTAAAGTCTATCTTATTGAGAAGAAGGTGTTGAGCCACCTTAAAACATTTCAAAGGTTTTACCTTTTGGTGGAGACTTTGTAGTTACAGGATCTCTATAGTTGCTCTTTAAGGATTCTTAAGTCGCAGTAATTTATATGATGTTGCAGCCAGTATTGCGATGTCAGCAATTACTGTGATGTTCAAGGCAATATTGTGCTATGCCGCATAGAGTAATTTATAAAAATGTTTACATGCCATGCATATAATTTTAATTAGGTTGCAATAAAATAAAAAAAAAAAACCCTTACCAAAACAACAAAAGCCCCAAAAATGAGAGAAAAATTAATTAAAAGCAATTATGCAAAATTGGTGTGAGTGGTGTGTGTCAAGCTTAAAGTGTATATAAAGTGTATGCAAACCTGTGACAGAGGAAGGCTCTGTCACCGTGAGAATATAGGAAAATGTGATCTAGGTTTAGCACTATCCTAGTCAGTTGCTAGGATGTGTATAGTTAGGTAAAGCATAGCTGTGTTTCTTTGCTTACCAGAGAGGCAGTCAGGTAAATTCAGAGTGGTATTCTGCATAACAGAATGCTGGAATTGATTAGTTAGGTTTGTTCATGCTGTTCTGGTGCTATTGGAGTTTGAGTTCTGCCTTCAGGAAGCTATGAGAGCCTTCCCATGTGTATCAGCTAGGCAAATAAACAGCATGAATATGGATACAGCCCTGGCAAATTGCAGGGGAAATCAGTCCCACCACATGCTGGGAGTGGGTTTTATATTCTGAGAGCACATGGGTTCAGTGTCTTTCCCAGGAGTGGATTGCACCAGCCAGGCTGGAGGCAGGCTGCCCTGCTCAGCACTTGCTGCCATGTGGCCTCAGGCGGGTCTACCTGAAGGCCTGAAGTTAGAGAGAGTGACCCTAGTTCTTCAGTAAGCTGACTGAGGGGAGTTGTCCACCAAAACTCTGTCTGGTATCACTGGAGGGTTTCGCTTGGAAGATTGGAAAAAGACAACAATTCTGTCCTTGGGTCTTGTGAATACTGACATTGAGGAATTTGGGGACACTGTGTACTTGCTACCTCCTCTGGTGTTTGATAGTCAGCATGGGTCTGGAAAAAGGAAACACTGGCTAGTGTTCTGAAGAACTTGTCCAAGTGTTGCTACTGCAAAGGGACTTTGCTCAGCTACGTTACCTTTGGGCTGTCTCAGTCTGTCTTAACTGGCTTATATCTGAGGAGCTCAGCCCTGTAACTACTACTACTGCAAAAAGGGACTGTGTTGACTCCTAAACTACTTGTTGCTACAAAGTAAAGGAAAGTCTGCTATCTGCTTCAGCTAAGACTTCAAAAGTGCTTAACTAAGAGATCAGCCCCAGCCAGAAGCCAAGAAACAGAGGGTCTCAACCGAGGAGTCAGATGTGCCCCAGCCAGAAACCAGGAGACAGTAGGTCTCAGTTCCAAGGGTCAGGTCAGCTCCTATCAGGGTGTCAGGACAACCCCAATCCATAGACCAGAGGTGGACCATGCAGCAGGGCTCTGAAAAGCCAAATATCCAGAAGAACTGATCAACACAGTCAGAGGGACTGGTGAGAGAAGCAGCAGTGCTGGCAATCTGTGAGCCAGTGGGCTCAGTTTTTCATTTGTGCATATTTCTGGAAGAACCCCCCGTGTAGGCAACTGATAGGCACATGACAAATAAATAATGGTTGTGTCGCGCTCCACCTCCTAAAAATATTTAAAGTATTTTAACCATGCATTTCATGCACTACTGTGTTAAATAATAAATGATATAAATGAGTATTATTCCATGATTATATATAAAAAAATATAAAATAGAATACAAATAAAAACTTCTGTGCTATAATTAATTATTAAACAATATTTTTAAAAAACAATAATGTGAAAAACTTTAATAAATATAGAATGCTGTATCGCTGATATTAGATAAACCCACCATTTAAAGTGACATATATGTGCAAAACGCAATGTGTATGTGCAAAAAATGCTAAATAAATAAATAATAATTAATAATAAATAATATTAAATGAGCATAAAGATGCATGTGAAATATGATATTAAGTGACAAATGATTAATAATAAATAATCAATAACAATTCTATATAATCTGACAGTGCAAATGATATTGTATGTGCACCTCAGCTTGTACAACCCAAAGTTCTAAATGGGGCTATGTATTTATTGTCCTTAGCTAGACACAATGCGAATGTCCCAATTACGACCTTTATATATTGTGAACAATATATATATTTTGCTGATAAGGTGGAAATATTACTGTCCTTCCACTGGGTGGCTCCCAGATACTTCTGAGCTGTAAGGGCTAGGTGGATAGATGCGGATATCCCTCTCGTTCTGGAGGGGTCAGACTCCTATCTCCTCTTCTCCCCTTTTGCTCCTCCACCAAAGGAGATCTTTTTCATTTCATATGCTCATCTTGTGTAACATCTCAAACTTATCCACCTAACACCAATTAATTTCTTAGCTCAGCCTTTCTTAGCCAGGGTTCCTCTAGAGATTGTGAGGGATCTTTGAGCAACAAACAAGAGATCCCATGAACTTTCTGTTTATTGAATAAAAGTGAGCTGTCATGCCCTAGACAGCTTTGGACTGGAGCAACTCATTGTAAATGCAACTACTGCTTGAGTTTAATCACCACAATCCCACAACCCTAACAATGGATCTAATCCTTTGCTCAGTTTTGGTCTGTTAAATATACCATTCAAAGCGTTTGGTGATATTGTAACCAATAAGTGCAAAAATATACCATACTATGTTATGGAGAAAAGAAGCGGGTGTTGCGTAGTCCTGGCCCATTTCATGTCCTGGGGTGACAATGCTGTTCTTCCATACTTCCATTGGGATTGTACGGTGAATGAGAATTGTCAACCTAGGATAGGAAGTGTGCTAATGGCATGACCAGCAGGTTAAAATAAGGGGAACTATAGCCTGAAAATTGTAAAAAGTAATGCAGCAGTTACATCTAAGGACTTGTAAACTGCAATATATTACATTTTTGTTCTTGGGTTTAGCTACACTTTAAAGGATAAGTTCACCTGTGGTAACATATTACATGTTACACCCATATTTATTGTGTAACATGTTACCAAAGATCACCTGTCTTTCCCCTTCGATTCCCCACTGTGACAGCAGGCAGGGATTTTTGTTCCTGCACCTGCTGTCACAGTTTAAAAAGAGCATGGCCTTGTGGGGATCTGCCCTACCACCATACCATCATTCTAATCACTGCCATACCTCATGCTAAAGTCCTGATCACCGCCATACTCCATACCAGTGTCCTGATCACTGCCATACGTCATAACAGCTTCAACATTTTAGAGTCTCAACTGATCAATTTTCAAATATATATCCCATAGTTTGTAGACTCTATAGTTTTCACACAGACTAAATAATATACACTGTTTTGGGTTATTTTTACCCCAAACATGTAGCAGAATACATTTTGTCATACATTTATGAAGAAAAAATATTTATTTGCAAAATTGTAAAA